GAGAGAGAGAGAGAGAGGAAATATCTGCCAAGGGAACCCCGCCCTGGAAGGGATCGAATGCATGTTTGAATAATTTATTCATTACTCTTAAGTGATGAGACTTTGGGTTAACTTGTGACGTGCGCGAGATAACTACAGCAAACAAACATCCTTTGTATTTTAAATTAATATTTGATCGAGCACAGGATAAGATAGATATTTAAATTACGAATCAATTTCTTTTGTAAATCTATATCACGGAAAAATTGAAATGTTTTCTTTGAAATAGAAAGGAAAAGTGAAACTGGTCAGGAAACTAGATTGTCTCAACCTCTCATAGACACGTAATTATAAATAAATCAAACAGAACGGAAAATATTTGGAAAATAAATAAATTAGTATACTTGTATTCTTCCTATCGATCTAATATTTCCTAATAATTCAAAAAAAAATTATTAACAATCCTACGTACTTGTAAACCACCTGATATTATCACTTTATCAATCTCAATTGGCAATTCAAGCTGGCAAAACAAATTATTAGGAAAACCAATCGAAACCTAGGAATAGAAAAATGAGCTTACTGTTTACGGTTCAGAGAGGTTGGAAAAATAACGACGTCGTTTTCGTTCGAGGCGAGAGGAGAGGATTCGAGCGTTTTCCAAGTAGCACGAGGGATTGTACGAGCGCGCACGAGCGGAGAGTGGTGAACGGCCGATAATTGAATAGAGGACGTATGGACGAGGCCAGCACGCCAACGACCGGCGATGTTAAGGTCCTTTTCCGCGCTATCGTTATTCAGCGGAATTCGATGGATCCTGTCGTCACCAATGTCGACAACGGTCTCCTTCTTCCGCCACCGAATAGACGAATATCTTTCGTTTCCGCTCGGCCGCCCACCTCACTCCACCAGTTCATCGAAAATTCCGGAAGTTCCGCCTCGCCCAATTTCGGCCGGGATCAACCACACGTGCCGACCGTGAAATCGACGCCAACCGATTTCCAAGATCGACTCTCCCCCCCGCTCGTTGTTTATCAGGGAATCGAGAGATTTTCGAAGTGGATAATATTGTTGATTCGTTTTTGGGATCGATGCGATCGACGAGGAAGAATTTGAATGAGATTGCAATATGTGATTGGATCGATTTTGCGGAATAATGTTGCGAATTATTCGCAATAAGCGTATAAAAGAATGTTAACCGAATCGATAAAGAAAAGAAAAATCTGTATAATTAATTCCTTTGCAAATGATTATTTTAAAGTTTTAAAAAAAATTACTATTATAATTTGTAAAAGAAGAGAAGAGATATTTATATAAAAATTATTGTAAATCTATGAAAAGAAGAGAAATATTTTAATTTATAATTTTTATATCACGTATAGCGTAATAACATTAGGGAAATGCAAATAAATTTTAGATCCAATAAGTTTATCTTCTTACTTAAATTTGAAAAAAGTTTACAGTGGAAGATCGAACGACATTACGAGACTTTTCTTTCCCCAGGAATTCATTTCCTCTTAACTGCTATTATGTACCTTCTCTTTTTAAATAGAACTCTTGCCTGCGATAAATCGGTTCCTTTTGTTAGAGTATATATATATATAGATAAAAAAGTAAACTCATTGAAAAAAGAATAATTTCTCGGGATAAACGAAGGTTTTAAGGGTAATTTGATAAGAAAAATGGCTGGAACCTTGGAGTCTTCCGGTCTTGGTCATCTCAATCACCTAAGCCGGATCGAAGTAATCTTTTCTCCTAAGCTTCACTAAGAGAAGAACCAAATACATTCGTTTACCTCGCACGATCATATGAAATACGTAAAAAATATTCGAATCATAAACGTATGAAACAACGTATTATTTAAAAAAAAATTTCAAAATGTTAAAAAAATTAATTATTTTTGGCAAATTTAAATTAAATATTGGAATAATATTATCAAAATTTTCAAAGATAAAGAAAACTTATTACTTTGGAACAGCATATATTTTATTTAAGAATTCAATTTTGCCTTTATCAAGTTTTCTCAGCGAAGAATAAAAGAAGTAACTTCTTGGAAGATTGAAAACTATTACAAAATATGTCTAATTTAATTAAATACTTTTATACATTCTTTTCAATTCAATGATTTTTCACATAAAAACATTTAAAAAATACAAGCAAAAAGAACAAAAAAAAAAAGAAGAATCAAGACAAACTCCTCTATATTCGATATTTATGTTACTAACTACTCTACTACTCTACGAATACGCTCAAAATAGGCTGAAGAAGAAGCGAGAAGGGTGGAAAAGTTTCCTCTATATTTATGAAACCAATTACCAATCCTAAGGACGAAAATACTTGGGGAACACTTCACGCTAATAAGCCCATTTTCGATCGAGAAGAACGAGCGGGACGCAATTTCCGTCCTGGTGCGCAACCTTAAAGTTTCGTCAAGGAAACTGTAACGATCGTTCCCCCATTAAACCGGCAGGAAGTTCCAATATTCCGGGGCAAATATTTGGTAACAATTACATACAGGTACACCGGAGGTATTAGCATTATTCGACCGGCATACGGAATGGAATAATCAGTTTGACCGTCTGCATGCTAACGGAGGGCTGGCTACGAACAGTTCGCCGATTATTCAAATCCGATAAACGATATGATTCGTGAATTGTCAGCGATGGCGGAGGTCACAAGATGATATCTTATTTTATAAATGAAAGAAAGAACGTCGTGTGATTTTTAATTTGCCGAAAAAGATATATTTTCATAATCAATTCCCACAACTTTGTCGAGGACGTCAATTTTATTCACATATGAAGAAACATACGAAAGATCTGTAAAAGATAATGAAAAGAAAAACAGAAATTTTTAGAACAAAAGTCATCTTTCATCAAAACTTTTATTAATCCAATTGGTACAATGAAGATGTATCGTCTCATAAGTTTATGCACAAAGTGTATCAATTCCAATGATGATCTACTTGTGCATGCACAAAAAAAAAAGAAAGAAGTCAAATAACACGATTAAACGATCAAAGATCGCATCACTCGATTAAGAAATTGATGTTGACCCATAACCTGGTTAAAGCTCGTCGAGGGACTAAAAACGAAGGCGAATGAAGACGGAATAGAAAATAAAGGAGGAAATACACAGAAGGAGGGATTGCTGGAAGAAGAAGTCGCGCGTGGAATTTCTCTGGGCCGTGAGAAGACCGTGAAATCCGGCAAGGCTTGTTTTATTTTTGTTTCCCTCCGCGAGATCGCCAGCATCCACAGAGTGCCGGGAGCGTTTTTTCTCTTTCTTTTTTTCGTTTCCTTTTTTTTCTTCTTTTTTCAGTTCGTAAGGCCTGGCCTCGGAGAAAGATCCGGTTATGCGGGCGAAACATTCTTCCCTGGTTTCTTCAAGACTGGGTGGAAGCCCCGAGGAGGAAGCCATCCAGATAAGTAAACGGTCGCGACCGCGTGGCGCAATTCTTTAAACGCTGCAGCTGCGGTACTAGACGGGGGATATTTCTCATGAATGTTTCAAACGAAATTGCGGATCTAACCCCACGGCGGGGCTAAATCATTTGAACCCTCTACCCTACCCCCACCCAACGTATCCGCTCTCTTTTTGCCATGCCATACCATCTTTTCTCACCAACCTTCTCCATCCATATCACCATAGGTATTTCTCTTCTCTGTTCCCTTTTCGTCCTCATGCCTTTTCTATCTCTTTTCGATCCTCGTTTCCCGTTCTCTTTCTTTCCTTTTTCATTTCTCGATTATTCAATTATTTGTGCGACTTCTTTCCCGACTCTTCATTTCCCATTCTTTCAATTTTCTCAATTCTCTGTATCCACTTTCATTTGTAGGAAGTGATCTAATCTCACCTTTCCTCTGACTGATTCCTCTGTACAATCTTCTCTCTGATTTCCTTTCTATTGTTTCATTCTACTCTTCGTTTCTTCTTTCCTTTTCTCGATTCGTCACTTTTACTCATAAAAGATAGTCTGATTTCTCTTTTTTCCCCCCTCATTTTACCGTATCACTTCTATTTGTGGAAGGTGGTTTGATCTCTCTCTCTTTTTTCGGCCGCCTGTCTGAGGGCACACCTTAACTAGGCTCTTCCGGTGCCAACGTGGTTACGAAGTACCCACCGGTGCTCTGAATGGGTATCTATAATGCATGGCTCGTCTTATTCGAGATTTTCGATCCCCGACGAGGCTTAGCTTTCACTCCGGTAAACCTTTGGCAAGAAGGAATAATGAATTCTTAAATATTCGCTTAGGCTGGATAGCTGCCGACCAAGATATCGATCTGTGAAAAAAATATCATTTTGTTTGCGTATACGGTGTATCCTTTTGCTTGTGTATCAGATTTTCACGTAATGTCTTGAATTTTAGGATCGATGGGATCGTAGATTGGATAGATATTGGAAGAATGATGAATTGGAATTAACGAATTAATATCCAAAGGAATTAAAGAGAAAGTAATAATAATAAAGATGTAGGAATGTAAAAAACGTGAAGAGAAAATGAGCATCAATATATGATTTAAATATTAAATAGAATTAAAATTGAAGAGAGTACAGATAGCATGAAAAGGAATCGAAAGAAGAGACATTCTAAAATTCCCGAAGGAAAAGAATTGAAAAAAGAATGTAGAAATGTAAAAAATGTGTAGAAAAAATGAGCATCAATATATGATTTAAATATTAAATGAAATTAAAATTGAAGAGAGTATAGATAGCATGAAAAGGAATTGAAAGAAGAGACATTATAAAATTCCCGAAGGAAAAGAAGTGAAAAAGATATTATAAATTTCCTAAAGATGCAAAATCTATCTATGATATATTATTCTGTAATAATATTTTAGTACATTTTAAATCATTTTCATATTAAGCATGATACTATGTAATTTAATTTTTTCATAAATTAAAAGTAAAGTTTCTAATAAATAAGAAAGAAATTAGTTAACATCAGTATTTCATAAAACATTTTGAGATATATTATGTGTATTTGAACAAGTACTTATTCAAGAAATAGTAACAAACTATTTGTATCTTTTAATTAATATCATAATCGTTGGTTTAGTTTTCAATTTATTTATCAAATTTATGATATCTCTTTCATAACTTTATTATGATTCTGAACATCTGGAGAAATAATAATTAAAGAAATTTATCATATTGTTCTCTTTTATTACACTATCCCATTCATAAATATTGATGTTTCAATACAATCAATTTATGAAAGAAAAATGAATAAAAAAGATACATGAATTATCTATAGAAGATTAATAGTACCACGCACATTTACAAGCTATACATAATTGATAATTTTCCAATATTATTGATTAAAAACAATAGTCTTTTAGCTTTTTAAATATATTGTTTAAAACAAAAATGTTCTTTTCATACCATTTCTATCTTACAAAAAAGGTAGAAACAATAGGTACAATAGATTAAATGTAATGACAGTTTGAACATAACCTCATAATCTGACAGCCAATATGAGATCAGCCATTAATAAAATAAAAGAATTATATTTCAATTCACTCACCCATACACTCAATTCATTTATTCATGCATACTCGCTTGAAATATCTTTGTAATGTTCTATTTACAATCCTTCGTGTCTCTCTTTCACCAAATTATAATGCACTATTATTACTCTCGAGGTGTAAAGTTACGAAGCACTGTCGACGCGATAAACTCCAATAAAGTAGCCGATTGGAAGGTTAATATTTCATAATGGAACGATAAATTAATCGGTGGTTGCACACGCCGGAGTCACATGTAATTGTACATGATGCACACTGATTGTAGTAGGTAGCCGTCTATATACCGATGTAATTTGAATCGCTTATAACCACGCGTTAATGCCGCTCGTTTCACTACGTGTTATAAACATCAATTTCGTCTACAGGTTACCGTTTCGAATTGCGCACTAAATCTGCGAAGTTCTCATCGACGTGACGCCACGAGTGGTGGCGCTGATTATCGATATATTCGAGTTGTCTATCGCGAGCAATTTCGATTGTAACGGCGCATTTTTTAAAAAAGGATACAAATGAAAAAAAAAAAATTTATAGTGAGAAGTAAATAATTATTATATATTTATATTTTGTATTGTATTAAATTGATTTAAGATACTATTTTAATTAGAATTTAAATTCTTATTTTTATTTCTGTTTTATTTTTAATTATTAGCATGTAAATTGTAAATTATAAATATTTAATTTTAAAAATTTATATATATGTAGTTTTATGTATAATGTACCTATATTACTTTCGAGGTTGTAATGAGAATTAATTCTTCTTTTTAATGCAAATTTAGTTATATTTGCTTTATAATAATATAATCTTTAAATATACGAATAATGTAGCAAACAGTGAACAATAGCTATTGTTACTTATTTCACGAAGCTTTCTATTATTGTTAATGATATTAATATCAATATTGATCCTCCTTTCATGAAACATATATTTTACGAATTGTACATAATTTCTGATTTTAGAATAATTCAAGAACATTGCATTTATTTCTAATTATTTAAAAATTAAAAAAATTTAGATATATTATATGAAAATGGTATCAATTAAATATTTGAAGGATATTCCATGCAAATATTATAAATACTAAAGTTTTATTCGTCTTATATTGATGAAAATCATTTTTATTTCTCTTTATTTTATTTAAGAAAACAAAGTTATAGCATTGTGAATGAATCGATCAATTCCTAAGTTTAGTATTCAGTTGACTTCAAGATTAGTTATCACCTGTCAATAATCATCTAAATGTCAAACACTTGAGGCGCAATTAAGCTTTCAGTATTAGTCAATAGAAGAGCAGTTAATCAACCTTAAGAGTAATTAACCTCCAAGTCAATATCATGGACCATCGTCAGGTAATTAATGACAACCATCTGTCTCAAACTTACTTGCTTGATGATTATCTACTTATATACTACTATTTATTTATACATACATACATGTTTTTATTAATAATTGCTTTACTAAATTTATACTTTAAAATTTTTCAATATTTTATAAATTATTTGAATTATATTCATTTTTTATCATTTATATTGTTATTATTATAGGAATATTTATTATAAAGAAGGAAGTGTTTGTTAAATTGATTAAATTTTAATATATATAGAAAAAAAAGTGAGCTCAGTATTTGATACTAATAAAGTGAAAAAGATATCAATTCTTTCGAAGTTTACAATGTAAAATATATACTTAAAAATTATAACTTGAAAATGTTAGTTATCCAAATTTGCTTAAAATCCTTTCTCAAATCTACTGTACAAACTTGCAAAATTTATCTCACCAATTTCTTTCCAATCTGTTTAAATTCAGACCCCAATTAGGGCTTCACGCCTGAGTTAAATCCGGGGTTAGGTCGCAAGCGCGAAAGAAGTAACTGCAATTACATTTTTTCTTCAAGGATTTTAAATTCCAAAACCAGCTCTCCTAAATGTGCTCTCCAAAATTCACATGAATTCGTATCATTTCTTTTTTCCTTCCCCATGAATTTAAAATTAATCCTTACAATATCGAGTAACAAAAATAAAATTATATTGTACTTCAATAAACACCATATACTTTCCAAACTAACTGAACACAATGAATATTAATAAAATTTTCCAAAATCTCAAACTTATAACATCCCATCTTCAAAATCATCTTACCTTCGTATTACTTTTCTACTAAAATATTTAAAATTAGCAAAGCATTCTTTCCAAAATCACCATCCATATACCATAGACAAACATCATAATTTCCTAAAATTCCTACTACTTTCTCCTACTATTTAAAAAAAAAAAATTGACGAAATATCCTCTCCAAAGTCCTCGTCAAGCGATAAACGAGCAATGACAGGCATCTCTTCGGTTCGATGACTCGATACGCATACTTCCCCTTGCGTAATCCCAAAGACGATATTCAGGCTAAATATCAAAATCAATTTACGCGGAACAATAGTTGATAACGTGGAAGTTAATCGCGGCCAAAATTTATCGGAATGCTCAGCGGTTAGTGGCGCGTGCACGCGCTAAACATGGCGCGCGTTTATGACGCGTCGGTGAAATTAAACAACCGCGGATTCGTTAATTAGGGAGGGAGTCGGTTAAATAATGCAGGCCCGAGAGACAGGTCGGACGTGGAAATCCGGACAACCGTCGGCTCGGCGGTGTAACGTATAGGGTTAATCTGGGAAAGGTTTTCAACTGCTACGAGCCGACATGGATTTAAACGGAGGGCTTATTCTATCGAGGAATTGTTTTAAATCGTTGGCAATTTATTTTTTTTGAAAATCGTTTTTGCAAATTGATTTATAAGTGTTGTGCTATTATCGACTTACAGGAAATTAAAAAGTGATATACCTTAATTTAATACTTGTACATTAGTCAATCTATATAACGTAAAAATTTTAACTTGTTAATTCATTGTTAACTGTAGTGACAATAGATATTAATATTTTATCAGATTTAAAGGGAAAACTACGTGTTGAAATAATTAATATTCAACCGTTTCAGGGAGATTCGACGGTTTTATATATAATATTAAAATTATTTTTCCATTGCGTGTATACCTCTATTAGTAAAATTAAAAAGCTTCCTTAAAAAAAAAAGAAATGAATCCGTATTATCTTCTTTCGGTAAATCTCCACTTTACGAAATACCAGAATTGTCCTTATCTTTTACCCTTATTTAAAAACTAAAACGTTATCATACCTTACATCTTCTTAAATCCTTCCTCAATCTCTTTTAAAAAGCTTTTAAATTTTTCAAAATTCAACACGCGATAAAAGGACAATAATTATCATTAACAGTTTTTTTTTTTTTTGTCACATTTGCGCAATCTCGGCAATGTCCGTAACATTTCCATCGCGCTCTTATTCGAGCCGGATTAAAGCGACGGATCGGAGCAACGACGAAACGGAGTTATATTTATGGAAGGGAAGAAAGAGGAAGATCCCCTCCAAATGAGAGAAGCGGGTGCGCGAAAAAGAAAACATCGACGACGTTTTCCGCGGTGGCGAGCGGCAGCTGTTCCCTTAACGAACGTTAAGCTAAGTAAAAGCGTTAACCCGCTGGTTCGAAGGAAAAACCGCGTGCGAACCGGCCACAGCTGCACCCCGGGTCGCGGGTACTTTGGCTAACTTTTCCGCTAATGCTCATCCCCTGGCAAATGAAGGAGGAGAGGGGAGGCCAAGCGTGGCGTAAGAGAAACGAGCGGACCAAGAATTCCATTAAAATACATTAGATTCTGGGACAGAAGACTGGGTTCGCCACGTCTCTTAATGGAGTTTCTGTCCACGGTGATCCGTGTCGCCAAAAACCTGTCGAATGGATCACGAGATAAATTGGAAACTCATCAGGCATCGGTTGGCCGCGGAATGTTCGAAGTTACTTTGTACAGTTTCACCAAGGAAAGAGGAAATCTGGGCGATCTATGGTGAAGGTGAAAGGTGGATCTTCGATACAGATGTTGTTAAACTAGATTTTAGATGAAAAGAAGTGTAACTCAGATTTTTGGCGATTGATATGGATTATAAACTTTCTATCGATATTTTTCTTAAATATTATTTTCTATGATGTTTGATCTGTTTGTCTATATTTTTTTTACGATTAATTTTCAATGATTAAAATGTTATTTTCTGTACAAACGCGACCAGGTCGCGCAAGGCGATGACAAATAAAACATTCATTCGATATCCATAATTCATAAAGCTCGGGCTTTAATCTCTCGAATTGAGAAGCTATCTTAAACATCCCTCTTGAGAAAGGTCAATTCTCGGCTCGCCAAGTTTCAATCATAAAGGATTTCCATTACATTTGCAAAATTTAAAGTGCCTTTCGCCGAATACATTCCATACATTTCCAACATAATTACTTTTTGCCAACACAACGCGCGAATTTTTGTCTAACTCGATGGCTGTTTACCGAAAGAAACTTTCAACGCGAAACCACCGTTAAGAAAAACCCGTTTCTTCAACAGCCTTGAAATTTATGTATCGTAAAAATACGAGAAGTTCGAGCTTTATTCAAAACCAAAATAGTAGTAATAAATGGAAGAAAGAACATTTCTGTATAGTGTAGGATGGATATTGCGCTCTCAGCAGGTTAAACGTGCTCAATTTGCACGAACAACCCCCGTTAGTTTACGCCTAGTCAACTCTCGATGATCACGAGCGCTCGTAGCGGTTGTTCCCGCAAACAACGAGCAGAAGAAAGAGAGAGAGAGAGAGAGAGAGAGAGAGAGAGAGAGAGAGAAGACAGTACGAAG